ATTATTATTGCGAAGCACTTTGAGCTGTGGTCCCGACTCATTGCAAGTTGTTATGATGGGCAAATGTATGTTGTATTTGTAGGCAAATACGGTAGCACAAGACTACAGGAACCTGTTGTTAGTCGATCGGTGGATCGCTTTCCCGGGGGTAACAATTCCTTTATAGCGCCTCATCACGTCTTCAAGACGTCTCAAAGCGCTTCACAGAATACACTGCAAAGTGTAGTGACCGTGTGTTTTGCAGCCGCAAACAGTCGTGGAATTTAGAAACCACATTATTATTATTATTATTATTATTATTTATTTTGAAGGGATTATTATCCCCGGAAAAGCGATCCCCCGATCGACTAACAACCGGGTTCCTACTGACTGCCGGTAACCAGAGGCGCGCGCGTGTGTGTGTGTGTGTGTGTGTGTGGGTGTGTGGGTGTGTGTGTGTGTGTGTGTGTGTGTGGGTGTGTGTGTGTGGGGGGTGGGGGGGGGAGGAGGTGCGGAGTAAGGAAACTTGCCCAACGTTTCACCCTGACCCGACCCACCCAGGAATCGCACCCGGGGCTCAAACCCCTGAGCTCCGGGGAACTCCACCTATCATTATTATCATGAATGATTATTATATCATTATCGTAACCGACGCTGTTGCTCGACCTCTGCTGTAGGTACATCTGCACAAATAGCGCAATGCTCCTTTATCCCCAAAGGCCTGGAATTCGATGAGGAACATGCCATCAGGATGAAACTTGCCACCACGATCCTCAATTGACTAAACACACAACATTGCACAGGTCCTGCCATGTGATTTTATCTCCGCTGCTCACTCTTTCTTGAACGCAAACAGATCCTTGTCTCGCTGTTGACACAGATATTTGCTTAGCAACGGTTGCAAGGTCATTTGACGATCAGGCACAGGAAACCTCGGTGTGAAACAGATGAAGTGATAGTCGGTGAGTCCGTGAGTGACCTATTTGGGATGTGGGGGTAACTGGGCCAACGTTACGTGGCCCGTCTCCGTCACCGTCTCTCACGCGCATCCCCACACACACCCCCAGCCTTGCCCGCGCAACCACCATTGGTGGTCAGACCTTCAGCCTCTCTGCCCCCCATCCATCCCTCGCCTCCTTCGAGAGCCCCATCTCAAGACCCTCCTCTTCGACCAACCGCTCATTCGGTCACCCCCCCCACCCCCAACACTCCCCACCCTCCACCCCCTCCTGATCCCAACCCCACAGCTCGGGTTCAAATCCCTGACTGTCCAGGGCCTTGGGACATCCTCCTGACGTGAAAGGCGCCGTGTAAACATCATGTGTTGTCAGCGTAAAGAAATCCAGTTGCCTCCCCCACCTCACACACACCCCCCAACTTCAGCACGACAAACAAAACACTTATCGAGTCAAACTCCGAAGCCAGAGTGGGGGGGAAGGGGGCGGGAGAGGGGGTGGGAGGTGACTGTAGACACGGTTGAAAGAGTCTCAGATGGACATTTAACTCACCCCATGACAATAATAATAATAATAATAGTCCTTGCGTGATACAGCGCCTTATCACGTCTTCGCAACGTCTCAAAGCGCTTCGCTTATGGGACGTGGGATATTTGCGCGATCTCAGCTGGTGCAATGGGTTACCCCCCACGCCCGGTTTGCACTTGAAAGCCAGTCACTACATTTGACATTTGATAAGCTGAGAGCACTTCGAGAGATATCGCCCTGAGTGCTGTGCAAACGAACGTTTGTTATTTACAAGGGGAACAAGGAGAGGAAATTGGATCTCCGAAAGGATACAGATAACGAGAGATCCAATCGATTGAGCACACAGACCAGTGACTAGGAAAAGACCCCCTGGGTTTTTTCCATGCTCCATCCGCCACAAGAACTACAACTTGACGGCGGAGAGGGGTGGGGTGGGGGGGGAACGAGGGTCAAACAGGAGGCCGGAGCCTGCCTATTGGGGGCAGCGGCTGGTGGAGTTGGTGGGGGGGGGGGTGAGCAGGTGGGAGAGGGCGGGAGGGAGGGAGGGAGGTGCGAGGGCGCGGAGGGGTTTGAAAACCAGTGAGAGGAGCTTGAAGTCGATCCGTTCGGTGACGGGGGGCTATGGACTCCTGTCATAGAGGCGGGAAAGGGTAGTAGAACCACAAGCATCGTCAAAGAACTTCACTCATCCGTGGAGTTCCCCGTGGCTCAGGGGTTAGAGCCCTCACCGGACGAACGAGAGGACCCGGGTTCGATTCCCGGGCGGGTCAGGTCAGGGCGAAACATCGGGCAAGATTCCCTACTCCCCCCCACCCCCCCAACCCCACACACACACACACGCCTCTGTTTACCAGCAGTCGGTAGGAAACCGGTCGTTAGTTTCCGGGGGTAATAATCCCTTCAAAATAAAATAACGGTCCCTTCAACCCGGCGGCTGCTTGTGGGGGAACGCCGCTGTGCGCCATCGGCTGCCGCGTTCCGCCCACGAAACACACAGTCACTCCGCTTTACAGCGTGTCCCGCGAAGCGCTTTGGGACGCGATGAGGCGCCGGATCAAATGCGAGGATCGTTACGATCATTTCAACTCCGCGCTTTCGAATGCACAACACGCGCTCCACTTGTGGAGTCCTGTAGCTCAGCGGTTAGAGCACTCGCTTTTCAAGTGAGAGACCTGAGTTCAATTCCAGGCAGAGGGCGAAACCTCGGGCAAGTTTCCTTACTCCACACAGAGCCTAATAATAATCCCTCCAAAAAAAACCCAAAACAATAATTAAATTGGTCATTTTCAATCTACGACTGTTTGTGGGACATTGCTGTGCGCAATTGGCCGCCGCGTTCGCCCACAAATATACAGTCAATTCACTTTACAGTGTGTTCTGTGAAGCGCTTTGGGACGTCCTCCCGACGTGAAAAGCGCTATATCAAATGCAAGGATTATTATTATTATTATTAATATTATTATTATTAAGCAACTTGAGTAACCTCGAGCTCACAGTTACACGAGAGGTACGTTGGGGGCTTTGAGGGATGGAACATTGACGATTTCAGTGGCTGTGAATGAGCTTCCGTCCGTAATAGATTTCTTCCAGCGTTTCTTTTCTTCGGGTTTCAATAGAAAGTCTTAATTTCAATAGAGTTTTCCCAGCGCAAGTCTGTTCTCTTGTTCGGACGGTTACCAAGGAGTTCGGTCTTGATCTCTTCCAGAAGGAGGGGGACAAATCATATAATGTTGCCAAGCTAACGATGTGCTTTCGTCTGTGAACAGTCACCGAGGATTAAGTGTCGGGAGATTTAATCCACCAGCCAGCTCCAAAGCAAATTTTAATTAAGTGAGACTTTGCAACTCGCTCTGCTCACTGAGCACCGAGCAAACTGGACACAGACGGAGGCCCCAAAATGTAGTTTCTTCACACGTCCGACCCATCGATTCTTCAGATGGGTTCGGTCGCTCTTTACTTGTTTGTTTGCTGTGGGACCTGTGGTTGAGGAGTTTTTCTCCTAATGACCGCAATAATAATAATAATAATAATAATAATAATAACATTTGACACGTCTTTCGAGACGTCTCAAAGCGCTTCACGGGATGCACTTTAAAGTGTAGTGACTGTGTATTTTGCGGGCGAAACGCGGCAGCCAATTGCGCACAGCAGCGTCCGACTAACAACCGGGTTCCTACTGACTGCCGGTAAACAGAGGCGCGCGTGTGTGTGTGTGTGCGTGTGTGTGTGTGCGTGCGTGTGTGTGTGCGTAGAGGAAGGAAACTTGCCCAACATTTTGGCCCTGACCTGACCCGCCCGGGAATCGAACCCATTCAGAAATTATATAGCATAGCTTCTGCCTGGAAGTGAGTATCCATTGCATTAGAGTGCAGTATCATAGTGTGGCCATTTATACCATGAAGGCCCCATGGCAATTATTTCCCAATGATACAAAACTCAGACCTGATCAATGTTCCTCTTCATCCAAATCTAATTCATCTCATCGGCAATGAGGGCCCAGGAGTGAGGGACTTCAGTCATCAGGAGAGGATAGAGAAGCTCGGATTATTCTCCCTGGAGTAGAGATGGGACGTCCTCCCGACGTGAAAAGCGCTATATCAAATGCAAGGATTATTATTATTATTATTATGGTTAAGAGGAGACTTAATAGAAGTTTTCAAAATTATGAGGGGATTCGATAGGGTGAACAATGAGGAACTATTCCCACTGGCGATCGGGAGGGTCGGTAACCCGAGGGCACCGATTTATAATAGTTGTTAAAAGAAACAGAGGGGAGGGGAGGAGAAACGTTCTCACACAGCGAGTTGTTGGGATCTGGAATGCATTGCCTGAAAGGCCGGTGGGAATCGATTCGATAAGTTCTTTTAAGAGAGTAGATAATTAATTGGGGAGGACAAGTTTGCAGGGCTATGGGGAGAGAGCGGGGGAGTGGGGTTGATCAGGGCTGTGGGGAGAGAGCGGGGGAGTGGGGTTGATCAGGGCTATGGGGAGAGAGCGGGGGAGTGGGGTTGATCAGGGCTATAGGGAGAGCGGGGGAGTGGGGTTGATCAGGGCTGTGGGGAGAGAGCGGGGGAGTGGGGTTGATCAGGGCTATGGGAGAGAGCGGGGGAGTGGGGTTGATCAGGGCTATAGGGAGAGCGGGGGAGTGGGGTTGATCAGGGCTGTGGGGAGAGAGCGGGGGAGTGGGGTTGATCAGGGCTGTGGGGAGAGAGCGGGGGAGTGGGGTTGATCAGGGCTATGGGGAGAGCGCGGGGGAGTGGGGTTCATTTGGAAGCTCTTTTCAAAGAGCGGCACAGACACGATGGGCCGAATTGCCTCCTTCTGTGCTGTATAATTCTCTGATTCTCTGAAATCTGATACCTTGGGACGATGGCTCCCATCTCTGGCCCAGTGGCTAAGTCTTGGGCTCTATCTATCTGTGGAGTCCTGGAGTAGGTTTGCTCAGTCAGTATGGGGCACGGCTCTTCTGACCCGGTATTTACCTGCAGGACTTATCGCAACGTAGTACTGTGCGGCTCTACATCAGGACCTTCTGGTTCCGTTCACGATTTGCAGCACCGTCTTGTGTGATCCCGTTCGTTGAGTCATTCCAGTATCTCCGCGCGCACAGACGTACATTCCCCGAGAGGTTTCGTGCAGCTGTTTCTAAGCTGCTTCGCGCGGGTTTGCGTCATCATGTTCCATTTGCCCACCTTTCTACACAAAGGCACAGACAGGTCTGTCGTTAAGTCCTGTGGAGTTCCCCGGAGCTCAGGGGTTCGAGCCCTCGCCTCGCAAGTGAGGGGACCTGGGTTCGATTCCCGGGCGGGTCAGGTCAGGGCGAAACGTTGGGCAATTTTCCTTACTCCCCCCACCCCCCCCCCCCCCCCCACACACACACACACACACACACGCCTCTGGTTACCGGCAGTCAGTAGGAACCCGGTTGTTAGTCGATTGGCCGATCGCTTTTCCGTTGGGGCAATTATCCCTTCAAATAAAAGAAAATAATAATAATTCGGTCACTCAACGGGGGACGTCGCTGTGCGCAATCGGCTGCCGCGATTCTCCCACAAAACAAACAGTCACTACGCCCTACGGTATATTGCGTGAAGCGCTTTGAGACGTCTCGAAGACGCGATAAGGCGCTGTATCAAGTGCAAATCTCTCTCTCTCTCTCCCTCGTCTCTCTCGCTGAGTGCAGGTAACTGGCAGAGCCTCACCCGCTGCACAAAACTGTTTCTTAGTTTTCTCTCTCGACGCAGGTCGATATATCGGGGGAGCGAAGTGTGCGTGAGGACCAGCAGTCGGAGGCAGTTAGAATCTGCGGCTGTCCCGCCTGGCGTGGAATCCAACAGAAAAAAAAGACCGGTGCCATGAACAACACAGCCACACATTTTTTGATCTCGACCCCAGCTGTACACACTTGGAAAGCCTTGGAAAACACAAGGCATCAGACAGGACATTAACAGGTTGGCTTCCCTTCACCCCCCGCCGCAGATAAACAAGCTCACGATGCAAACGCGACCGGCAATAGAATTGCGACCAAGGCTCGTTTCGCACCAACCAATAAGGATTAAAAATACTTTGACGCAACGGCGGAGCAGATGAATACATCAGGGCCTGCAGTCCAAAAGTTATTACCTGCAATCAATCCCAGATGTTTTCATTGCTGAACGAGGCGCAGATCAGTCAGTCTCCCCACGTTTCGTTTTTTTTTATGGCCGTGTTTCGCAGGGACTCTATTATCGACCCTCCGAAAGAAAAAAAAACCCAGAGCAAGAGGAACGGTTTGGGCTGGAAATTGATCGAGCGGTGGGGGGGGGGAAAAGGTACCGGCCAGGATTCCAGTCTGGGGAGCAGAAGCCCGGCCAAAAATGGAGCTGAGACTCAACGATTGACTGCAGCGAAGCCTGTGTTCGGAAAACTTAAAGATCTGCCAAGATTTCTGATTGTTATTCAGAGCTCCCTGCTGGCACATCAGTGGATACGGGGTTAGGACGGTAATAATAATTATAATCATAGTAATAACAATCCTCGCATTTGATCCGGCGTCTTATCACGTCCTCGGGACTTCTCAAAGCGTTTCGCAGGATACGCACAGCAGCGTCCCCCCCGTCCCCCCCCCCCCTCCACAAACAGCCGCGGGGTTGAAGTGACCAAATTATTATTTTTATTTATTTTGAAGGGGTAATTACCCCCGGAAAAGCCATCCGCCAATTGACTAACAACCGGGTTCCTACTGACTGTGTGTGTGTGTGTGTGGGGGGGGGTGGGGGGGGTGGGGGGGAGGAAGGGAACTTGCCCAATGTTTCATCCCGACCTGACCCGCCCGGGAATCGAACCCGGGTCCTCTCGCTTGCGAGGCGAGGGCTCTAACCCCTGAGCTACAGGAATCTACACAGCCACCTCAGCAATGGGTCCCACCACCAACAGTCGCAGAACTCTGCTCTATTGCCCACCCCCATCCCCCCCACCCCCCATCCCCCCCACCCCCCCCCCCCACCCCCCCCACCCCCCCCCAACCCCCCAATGTCACTCCGCAATTTCGCAACAAAAATGTTCGCGGATCGGCACATTTCCTTCCCTCTCTGGCCCCGCCCTCGCTGGCCCCACGACCCTCCACACCCCTCGCCCCATTCAAACCCCCCTCTACCACCACCCCAAACCCCCCCACCCCCACCCCAACCCCTCGCCCATGTGATTGTGAGCCCTGTGAACCTCCGGCGTTTTTATGCCACGAGTTTGCCAGAAACGGTCAAAACGTCACCCAGTTGAACGCTCAGGGTTTGTGGCCCTTTCGGACCTCTGAAGACCTCCTCCCGCGCGAGAGAAACAACAACAACAACAAGATTCCATTTACAGAGCGCCTTTCACGTCGGGTGGACGTCCCAAGGCGCTGTACAGTTGGGTCAGGACCCGAGCATTGGGGGGAAATGGTCAGGGTGAGGGGAGGGGAGGGAAGGGAGGGAGCGAGGAGGGGGGAGAGAGTCGAGAGGGCAGCTGAAGGCACAGTCAAGGAGAAAACATGTGTCGCTTTCCTTTCGGCGCTGCCCGGGCCTCCCAAATAGCCTTATTGTTCGTGGTGCCAACCTGCCTTGTGTGGCATGACCGAAATGTGGCCTCTCATTTAACGCCGGGTGAATCCATCCATACACAAGAATCAGCCAGTCAGAATAACTCTTTGATTGGCTTGTCTTTTGCCCCGTTATGTTATGTTTTTCCCTCGAACGAGCACAGCGGGCCACAGCGGGGAAACTGCAACCGATGGGGACATTGTTAACGTGGGATTCGAGGCCAAGTGTTTGAAACCAGACCGACCGCACGCACAGCAAACTGTATTCCTCCCTCAACTCTCAACGGATTCACATGGTTATTATAATCATGGTAATGATAATAATCCTCGCATCTGACCTGGCGGCTCATCACGTCTTCGGGACGTCTCAAAGCGTTTCGCAGGACACACATACAAAGTGTAGTGACTGTATATTTTGTGGGCGAAACGCGGCAGCCAATCGCGCACAGCAGCGTCCCCCACAAACAGCCGTGGGTTGAAGTGACCAAATTATTATTATTATTTTTAAATTTCGAAGGGATTATTACCCCCCGGAAAAGCGATCCCCCAATCGACTAACAACCGGGTTCCTACTGAGGCGTCTGTGTGTGGGGGGGGAGGGGGGGGAGTAAGGAAACTTGCCCAATGTTTTGGCCTGACCTGACCCGCCCGGGAATCGAACCCGGGTCCTCTCGCTCGCGAGGCGAGGGCTCGAACCCCTGAGCTCCGGGGAACTCCACAATAGTCTGAGTGACTGAACCCCTTTGTACGGGGAACAGTGAAGCATCGCTCTCTGTTGCAGCTCTTTCTTATTAAAGGGCTATATAGTAGGAATTCCCGTTTGAAAGAGGGTTTACTGGATCCCCTCAATGCTTCGAGACCTCCCCCTGAGTCCCCTTAAAGCCTCTTCTGAGGCCCATTTTGCCTAAAGTTGCCATAGTGGGGGACGGGTGATGGTGATAGAGTTATGGGACATGTCTTTACACCTCCAATACACCTCTTACAATCTCGAGGAGTCCCATAGCACACAGCTCCCCCCCACCCCAACCCCCTCTTTTTTGTTGGCCCGGCCGGGTGTCTGACACACACGGAAACCCATCACCGTTGCTTAAGAGTCTCCAAACCCAACTGAGAACTCCCCACATCCCCCCCACACCTGGAAACCCCAGAGATAGATCGTTGGAATGGAACCGCTCTCTCTCTCTCTCTCTCTCTCTCCCCCCCTGGAGGGACGCCCCCTGCTTATCTAATTCCGGAGAGTATTAGTCACAGGTTGGCGAGAGCCAAGGCTTGTGGTGGGGTGTGGGGGTGGGCGGGGGGAGCCCAGAGTGTGCGTTGGGGTAACTGCTGGAGTCTAACCAGCTAAACCCACACATAGCTTGGCCATCGAGAGAGAGAGAGAGAGAGAGAGAGAGAGAGAGAGAGAGAGCACTGTCTGGCCAAGCTTTCCCGCTGCTTGTCCTGCTCGGACCCCCCTCCCCGTTAGTTAGGGCTTTGGCTGTGGGGTTACCAGGAGCTGAGGGGGAGGATATCCGGCCCCCAGTGACTGGTCGGCCCTTCCAGGTCCTGCCCATGAGCCGGGCCGGGCTGTGCTGCCATCAGCAGCGAGTGCCCCGGGACACCGCGGCCCCTCCCGGCTCAGGAACCGTTCCGAGCTTTGGGCTGTGGACCATGGAGCTGAAGTTCCCGGTGCTGTACCCGGTGCTGTACGCCTTTCACCTGACAGACTGCGGGCGAGACTGGAAGCAGACCCAGAAGGAAAGGCGTGCGCTAACGCACTCAAACACACGGAGATTAAAACGAACCCTTTCGCCATTTCGATACAAACAACATCTGTTTCTGTGCTGCGGGGAATAAAACTACCAGTTTCCACTTTTCGGAGAAAAAATAACATCTGTATACGGCAACGCAGCACATTAAATCATTATTATTATTTATTGCAGCAGACAGTAGTCCTGTGGATATCCAGGAGGGAGAGTTGGTTCGCTGATGAAATGTTTTCTCATCTCCCGTGGATCACTGTGAATGGTTGCCTTGTTCTCGTGGCCAACGCTCTCTCTCTCTCTGACAGCGGGCAGTGACCTTTTTTTTTGTTCGCCGGTTTATCAGACGGGGGTGGGGATGGGGGAGGGGGTGGGGGGTGGTGGGGGGGGGGAATCCTTTCCCAGCTACGACAAACATGTGTTTAATACGTCCATCGTCTTACCCCAACCTGCGCAACGGGAATAATATTATTATTAATAATAATAATAATCCTCGCCTTTAATACAGCGCCTCATCACGTCTCCGAGACGTCTCAAAGCGCTTCTGGGGACACACTGTAAAGTGGAGTGACTGTGTGTTTTGTGGGCGAAACGCGGCGGCCAATCGCGCACAGCACAAACTGTCGTGGATTGAGTGACCGAATTATTATTATTGTCATTATTTATTTTGAAGGGATTACTACCCCCAGAAAAGTGATCCAACAATCAGCCAACAACCGGGTTCCTACTGACTGCTGGTAAACAGAGGTGTGTGTGTGTGTGTAGGGGGGGGGGTGTTGGGGGGGGAATAAGGAAACTTACCCAACGTTTCGCCCTGACCTGACCCGCCCGGGAATCGAACCCGGGTCCTCTGGCTTGCGAGGCGAGGGCTCGAACCTCTAGTACCTGTTAAAAGCTTT